ATTTTATACTGTATGTGTATGAAAAATTTAATTTTGTTGTGCGATTTTTTTTATTTTAATTTATTTGATGAATTGTAATTGATTTTATTATTTTAATTAATATGTAAAATTTGTTTGAATATGATTAGTAAAAATTATACTTTGTTTGTGATGTACGACTGATTTTTTTCTGGACGCCTTCTAAAGAAATTAATTACAATATTTACCTGCTATGCCTATCACTATGTGAATAACTTTGTAGAGCTAGACCTCTTTCTCTCTGGGTACGCGGTTCTGAGATGTTCTAACACTCTATATATAAAATTGTTTATAACTTTTTTTTTATTTGCACTTTAAAATTTATTTTAGTTGATAATTTATACTAGATTTGGATAATAAAAAATTAAATTCAACTTGTAACAAATTAAAATGTATTACACATAACTTTCAGTTATAATTGACAAGAATTCAATTTCTATTACTATAATCTAATCCTACTCTTTAGTCTAATTTTGTTGAAAATTTTATCGATCGATAATTTTACTTTGAAAATTGAATTTAAAATTAAATTGTGCACTTTGATTTTAAATAAAAATGTTTCTCTTTTTAAATTACTAATTTTGTTGAATAATTCGAATTTTATTATGGCCATATGACATATGCAACCTATGATATATCAAGCGTGTACTGTAAGTTGCTACCTTACTTTAATTCCTTATCTGGTCTTGGGTTTTCATTTCAATGTGTTGGTATTTTCTTGCTTCATATTCAATGGCCTCAGGATACATAACTTGTCCAATTTGGATTTNTGGCCATATGACATATGCAACCTATGATATATCAAGCGTGTACTGTAAGTTGCTACCTTACTTTAATTCCTTATCTGGTCTTGGGTTTTCATTTCAATGTGTTGGTATTTTCTTGATTCATATTCAATGGCCTCAGGATACATAACTTGTCCAATTTGGATTTCTCTTTCTTCCTGGAACAATATTCTGGAACTGGTATTCTTCTGTACACTTCACTTGACTTTTAACACTGTAGTCTTTAGCTTTTTTAACAAAATTTTGACACAATGAGAATTTGTACAATTGACTTTACACTTTTGGGGATTTTTGGTTTTGACAGATTTTTCCAGGTTTGTTCACTAGTCACTTAGAAATGCCAATTTGTCTTACTAGGTTATATACTTGTATTTGGGTACGTTGTTTATCATTTAAAACTGTGATTTTACTTTGTTTCTTTTGTTTTTAGGCTGGAGATGTTACATCTTACTTTTACGACTGCCAAATTACTACTCTCCTCTGTTTGGTCCCGTCCTTGCTTTTATAATACTCTAGACAAATGATCGGCGTTGCTATGCAATTGACGTTTCTTAGAATTTGTGAAAACTTTGCCTGGAAATTTTGGACTTATGCTTGCCTTTTAGGAAAAATGATTATCATTTTTGGATTCCTTGGCTTATAACGAATATTTTGATATGCAACAATATATAGTACGAGTATTTTCTAACCTAATACAATTTTTAACATATTTATGCAAATTCCTCAAAGAAAAACTCTTTCTAACTAATATCTAAGCATTTGGGTTTAAACATTGTCCTATACCCCATACTTTTATTATATTTATGCTGTCCATTTACTTTAATTCTGTATTTTACAGTCTTTTTAACTTGTAGATACTACGAAACCGTTTTCACTTTGAAAGTTCTTCTAAGAAAAATGTTTTTATATGGAATGATATGAAATATTGTAGTCTCTGAACCTTAGTCTTTCACCCCATACACAATTGTTCGGATTTTAATCACACACTAACTATAATTTCTAGAAGTCTATCCCTTGAGGATTGTGTTACATTGATTTTATGAAAATTCAATAATTTACAATATTGTGAATCTTGTCTCACTCTTGGAAATTCATTTAAGGTATAGTTAACTTAACATTTTACTACTTTTTATTATCTGGCACGGAGTTATATTAAAATTTTTTAATTCACCGTTACTTTATTGTTATTGATATTCTGTAATTATTTAAATTTTCTCTAACAAATTTAGGATCGTGGTATTTTACGTGTTCAGGTGTTTCTTTGTTAAATTAACTACCTTTTCATGCTATTTTTACATTATATTCCTTAAATTTAATAGTTTAAATTTTCAAAAGTTTATTAAATTTGACATTTGTTCGGATCATTTTAAATTATATTATTTTTTTT